TCAGTCGTAAAAATCATCGAACAGGCCATGGGTGGTATAGCTACAACGACTTGAACGGCCCTTTTTTTGAGGACCATTTTTTCAAGACGATCGCACAGCTATTTAAACGTTCAATTAAAATATAAAATTTATTAAATTTTCCATAAAACAGCACTTTCCAGTGCTAAATCACAAAAATTATTAAAAACTTTGCTTAGTGTTTTTTCTTTTTTCCTATCCGATTTGCAGCAAAGTCAATAAGTAAGTATAATGTAAGTATTTTTTTAATTACCTTTTCGTTAATTGATAAATAAGTTTGACTTATTTTTATAAAAAATTCTAATTATTTATACATAGCAACAATTTAAATTTTTTGAATAATCTTTACCAATTTTTATAGATTTAATTATATTACAGAATATGAATATCTATTAGGGATGATAGATATTAAGAATACGCAACGCGCATAGTGACTAGTACTCTCTGAAAGAATGGCTAAAGTTCAAGCGGAATAGCGCACGAGGAGCGCGAGTTCGATTCCCCGTAGTATTGGTATATATATTTTTTATTAATATTAAAATTGTAATTAATGGTAGATATTGTCTTATTTTTAAGAATTATTTATTTAAATATAATTAAATATTTGAATACTATTAAATATTTAATTACAATTAAATATTTTAAGTAAAATAAAATATTTAAATATAATTAAATATTTAAATATAATTAAATATTTAAATATAATTAAATATCCAAATATCTTTTTTATGTTAGAAATTTAATCGATCGTTCTTCAAATGGAAGGGTATAAGGATATGACTGTCATGAAAGAATAAGTTGATATATTATAAAAAAATTTCAATTTATTTGTTCATATAAAGAGTACAACATGTTGTATGTAGATGGTTTAAAGTTTTTTATATCCTTCTGACTTTGGTATAGATTTGGTGTTGGTTGAATAATAATTTTCAGTATATGATTTCCATTGCAAAGATGGTTTTGTTTTCTTAATATTTGCATTGGAACTTTTACTAATGTCGGAAAGACGCGTGTAAGGTATACTATTTTTCTGCCCCATTTTAATGAAAAATGATTGCAACAAGCAAAGCACGTTATATTGATAGTTTAATCTTTAAAGATTGACCACCGATAATTTTGTAAATACTTGTACTGTCATCAAATTCTAATAATTAAATAAAGCGTTTACTAAACATGTGTTGCCTTATATAGTCGATTATTTTAAATGGATAGAACATTAGGGAAGTGGGAGGAGGGGAGGGGGTGGTTGATTGGGGTGGTTGACTAATTTCCATCTAGTTCATTTGCTTCTCATGGTATAAAAATGGACTGAAACTCAGTAACAGTCGCATTTGACTATTCGCATCAAGCGTGTTAGTGTTACAAAAGAAGTGGTAAGAGCTTTTTGTAACGCAACGTTTTCTTGTGAAAAAGTAAGATTCTGCAACGATTATGAGTGAGAAGGTGATGGACTACAGGTCACTATTTTTATTCGAAATTAATTTATATAATTTCTTTTCATCACGTGCATTTTTTCTAGATTTGAGCAAACGAGGATGGATAGCTTCACCGGTATATGGTCTTGCGAGTATGTGCAACCATCAGATCTAGCAGCAGCTGGCTTTTATTATTCAGGACGGATTGATCGAGTACGCTGCTTTGAATGTGGCATAGAAATATGTCAACTGGAAGAAGATGATGATCCTATGACAGAACATCGACGATGGGGTGTCCTATGTCATTTTATTCGTAATAAGGCTTGCGGTAATGTAGCAATCGGATCGAGCAACGTATCCATACTGCCATAAAGAGGTAGGGATGATTGTGGAATGTATGAGCTCGAGTATCGGTTTGGGGCGTCAGGCAACAAGCGCTCGCAACGAGCAGCATAGCTACAGAGAACTTGAATGAAAACAGCCCAGCTGCAGCTAGCGTAAGTGCAGTAACAGCCAAGCCAACCGTAGCATCAGTAAATGAAATCGTGAAGGTGCTTGCTGATTTAATTTTATTAGAAAAAATGACGAATGCATCAGCTAGCATAGCAACTGTTTGTCAAAAACATATGTAATTTCGAAAAGATTATTACTAAACACAATAAAGATATGGAAGAAGTCATTAAAAAATTAGAGCAAGATACAGCTGATATCTTACAACAGCTTGATTTTAATGTATGTAAAATATGTTTGGATGCGAGAATTGGTGTAGTCTTTTTACCATGCGCGCATCTTGTTTCATGCGGTGAATGTGCAGTAAAATTCAATCACTGTCCGATATGATGCTAAATAATTATGAGATGTGTTCATGCTCATTTTGTTTAAATTTTCCTTATAAAACATTTTTTATTTTAATTGTGCGTATGTGTTTTTTACTATCAATCACTGAATTAATTTTCTCTAAAGGATTAAAAATTTCAAATTGTTTATACTAACATATTCATTTGATGATTAAAATCATGTCGAAAAGACTTTTTTTAATGAATGAGTATTTATTTTGATTTTATTCTATAAGTTATATAAACTCTGATAAATAAAATAATATTGTAACTATAAATGATAACTTGGTGTGGTTACTGCATAAAGAAAAAGTTTGATTTGATAGTTTCTTGAGTTAAGGACAACCCAAATCTTCAACATTGGTCACAGTTGTTCTTTAAAAAAATAAAATAATATCATATATATATCTATATATATATATTCGTAAAAATATAACTTGAACGACTATCCATGAATTAACAATAAATCAAATTTTCATTCTTTCATGTAAAAAATATGAGCTATACATATAATAATGTATTATATTCTCTCTCTCTCTCTCTCTCTCTCTCATAATAGCTCATAATTATAACTCGTATCTTTCTGCGACTATTCACTTATTACTTGCAATTCTAATAAAAAGTACTTGTACATACCTTCAAATACAAGAATATAGTCCAACAAATTTCATGATACTAATAGTTGTTGTTTCTTCGTCTGCCATTGTGAAAGACACAACACAAGTCGAAACGCGTTTGTATTTCTTCGATCTCTTTCGATTCGTAACGGTACACATCAAGCACAAATTGAAATCTTATGTTCATAAACTCGATGATATCAGTGAATGTAAAGATCATCGAATGAGTTAATATTTTTTACGAATTTTTAAGTATTTTTATGAAATAATCATCTCCATTGTTCTTTACAAAAAATATTATCAATTTAATATTGATAAACTTGCAGGCTTACGTAATTATTTTATTCATTTGTTGATGAGCTTGGCCCCTTAAAATTATTGAACTTGGTGCTCCAAATGGATAAACGCTCGAGCAGACCTATTTCATTTTTATAAGTTGAGGTAAAGTTATTACATAGTTTAATTGAGTGGCATTTTTAGTAAAATATACAACAACAAAGAATACAGTTGCCAAAAACTCTTCGCATCCGTGCTCATATTATAAAATAACTGTTTAAACTGTAGTTTAAATGTTACGATTATAAATATTATTAACAATGAATTATACTCCGGACGGGCAAGCTGAAGGCGCCGAGGAGATAATACGTGACAGTAAATAAGTTCGGAATTAGGGATGGATGATTGCGTGTTATAAATGATAAGTCCTAATTATACAATATAACTTTAATGAAATTATTAAAGTGAGGAATACTCATCCGGCATAAAAAACCCAGTCGTGAGTGGGGAAAAGCCATCGAGATCCTATAGAATACTTACAGAGTTTTTTACTATTATAAATAAAAACTACGCCACTAATACAAAATTGAGAGAGTGAGAGAGAGAGAGAGAGAGAGAGAGATTGGATACGCTTACAATAGATTACCTGAGGCTCGCGGAGCCTGTACAGTTCGCACGGTGAATGGCCATTCAGAGTAAAAATGTGTGTTCGCTTACAGTCGACGCCAACATAGGTAGAGGGAAGGAAGGTGCTACCACACACACACACATCGGCGCACCGCAGCCCCAACGTCTTGGGCACACAAAAACTGCGATGTCGCCTAGTTTGCCGACTGATGGGCAGGAAGGAACTGGTAGCACCCCGGAGACTTGAGGGTGTCTTCCACTGACGCAGTCAGTCCCCTTGAAATGCGTCACTGGGATCACGAGACACTAGCGAGTCAGTCGCACCCCAACACACTCACACACCTAAGCGCGCACGGTTTCCTTTCTTGGCTCGGTGTCGCAGACATGCACTTGCGGCAGAAAGAGGACTTGTCGCGTACAACCCCTTTGAGTGATGCGAGATGCACGTTAGAGAGCAGAGTGTCGACCGTAGCAGTCTGGTTTCCGGAAGGAACAGAACTCCTTTCTATCCGAAGACGCGAGAATAAATAGGCGGAAAATTCTCCCTACTCTTGAGGCCCGCCCGAGGGGAGCCAAACAGAGAGGGACTTGCGATTGCGAGGATGGAAGAGTCCGTGCGACCTTTGATTACCTGCGGCCGCCGGCCGCGAACTCTCTTTTTTTTTTATTGACGCGCGCGGCCTCGAGATCATTGGTCATCGAGCACGTCTGGGTTTTCCCCAGACGTGTTAAGACGAGAGTATTGCCGGATTAGCGGAGTTCATTTTCACCTAAAAAAAAAACTAAGAAGCCATAATAACTGCATTTGGACATGCGGTGCGCAGATGTGGGAAATACGCGCTGCAATTGGCGATATGCAATAAACAACAGATGCGCGCATACTTCCGACTGTAAACGTCACCGAACGCGGAAGTCGATGATTTATTGCCCTTGCGTCGTTCCTTATATTCTGTTGTCGGTTGCTTTCTCTCTCTTTTTTTTTTTAATCTCGGAGTGCAAATGGCGCGAACATACCGCCCGCCTTCGTCCTTCGGACGAATATCTATATCCTAGTTACGCAATTACTCGCTTGAACCCGTTTGGCCAAATCCGCAAGTTCTTGATGTTGATCTAAATCCAAGGGGGCTAGGCAAGCAATGTGTCGGCGGAGGGTGTTAGCAGCTGTCTTAACTGTGACCACCCGAACAAGGTGATCCTTCCTTGGATGTAATTCAATTACGCGACCAAGAGGCCATTTTGCAGCTGGATAACGGTCGTCCTTGATCAGTACTAGCTGTCCCACGGCGAAGTTGACTGCTGGCGTTCGCCACTTTCCTCTTTCCTGCAAGTGTGCAACATATTCGCTTGATCATCGATTCCAAAATTGATCGCGCATACGTTGCAATAATTGAAAGCGGCCAAGTCGGTTCTCGGGAACTGCTGGTGTAGGTTGGTCTGGAACAACTCCCGAGGCTGCGCCGAGAAGAAAATGAGACGGCGTGAGAGCTTGCAGGTCTTCGGGGTCTGTAGTTAAAGGGCAGAGCGGACGTGAGTTAAGGCAGGCCTCGATTTCCACCAAAACGGTCGTCAGTTCTTCGAATGTAAGTGTGTGCTCGCCAATAGTTTTCTTTAACAGATTCTTCGTGGACTTCACGCCAGCCTCCCAGAGGCCACCGTAATGCGGCGTAGTTGGTGGTATGAAGGTCCACGAAGTACCATCGTCAGCTAGCACCTTCGCAATGTCCTTGTAGAATGTTGAAGCCTCTTGAAACATCGCTCGAAGTTCCGCGTCGGCTCCCTTGAAAGTAGTGGCGTTGTCACTAAAAAGGAGCTTGCACAGGCCTCTCCGACTCGCAAATCTTCGAAAGGGAGCAATGAACGATTTGGTGGTTAAATCACTAACCAGTTCCAAATGTATGGCCTTCGTAGCGAAGCAAATAAAAACGACGATGTAGCCCTTGTAAGCATGCTGGCCGCGACCTTTGGAAATTCGTACCCGGATAGGGCCTCCGTAGTCCAAGCCTGTTATCGTGAAGGGGCGATTCGGGGTTACTCGTTCAGCTGGCAGGTTACCCATAAGTTGATGGGCCAAGCGTGGTTTATGTCGTTGACATGGGACGCATTTGTGTATCGCAGACTTAACTAAGGGACGCATTCCAATAATCCACGCAAAACGCAACAGAATACTCGTAGTCAGTGTAGGTCCACCGTGAAGCGCTCGCTCGTGAGCATCTCGTACGTAAAGTCGACTAATAGCGGAATCGCGTGGTAATATCGGCGGATGTTGAACGTGACACGGCAGATTCGCGTTGCTCAACCGACCCCCGACTCGCAAGATACCGTCGTAATCGAGAAACGGCGTCAGTTTGCACAGCGAATTGTGCTTCGGCAGAGGTTTGTGAGCCCGTAAGAGCGTGATTTCTCCAGCATAGGCGTGAGCTTGCGTGAGCTTTATAAGCACCGCTCGCGCGTTGTCGAGCTCTTCTACGCAAAGTCGCAGTTTAGCATAAAAGCCTTGACCGGCATTGGAACGTCGCCGTTGAAGAATCGGTCGCAACATCCAAGCCGTTATGCGCAAGAGACGTCTTAAACTAAAGTATCGTGACAGAAGCACCGGCTCGATCTTTGTCAATCCCCGTTGGGTATGCAGTGCTTGCACTGCTCTTGGTTGTTGCGGCCAATTTTGCGGTTCAGAAACGAGCCAGGTGGGTCCATGCCACCACAAGTCAGCTGACTTCAATTCGGTGGGCGTAGCACCTCGCGTGGCCAAATCAGCGGGATTTTGTTTTGTAGGAACGTGAGCCCACGTAGCTGATGGCAATTCGGTTCGTATCAACGATACCCGATTCGCGACGAAAGTTTTCCAGTGACAAGGATGTTTCTTATGCCACGTGAGGACGATTTGACTGTCAGACCACAAACGAACCGACGCAGTCTTCAAGAAATCTAATTTTTGCAAATAACGCACGTATTTTACCAGTAAGGTCGCGCCACAAAGCTCAAGATTCGGAATGCTGATTGTTTTCACGCTAGCGACCTTTGTCCGAGCACCAACTAATTCACTTCGTGACTGACCGTTACTGAAAGTAATGCGGATGTACACGACGGCAGCGTAAGCACGGGACGATGCGTCCGAAAAGCCGTGAATCTTAAACGATGCGTTTTGAGCTAAGCCGAGCCAGCGATTAACCGAGAGAGTGGGTAGAGCTGCGAGGGATTGACGATAATTTTGCCACCTATTATAGATCTCGACTGATACCGGTTCGTCCCAATCGCACTTTTCAATCCACAAGTCCTGCATTATGATTTTCGCGACAACCGTGACTGGAGAGAGCCAACCTAGCGGATCAAATAACCTTGCAATCTCGGAGTACAGAGCTCGCTTCGTTAATTTTGTGCTACCGTGCTTAAGACTGGGTGCGCTGAAGCTAAACTCGTCGGAGGAAGGCTTCCAGTGTACGCCAAGCGTTTTGACGTCACTGCTGGTGTCGATTTCTTTGATTACGCCGCTATCGTTAGATCGGTCGCGTGGAGGCAGCAAGTCCACATAATTTGCAGCCCATTTATCCAATTCGACACCTGCAGTTTTGAGAATTTGCACGAGTTCGTCGCGTTTACGTATAGCGGTGGGGAGATCGTCTGCTCCCGAGAACGTATCGTCCACGTACGTGTTTGCTTCTAAGCATTCAGCGCCTAAAGGATAACGCGATTTTTCGTCGCGAGCTAACTGCAATAGCGTGCGAATCGCCAAATAAGGAGCACAAGCCGTGCCGTAAGTGACCGTTGTTAAGCGGTATTCGATTGGCGCTTGCTGTGGCGAAGGAGACCATATGATTCGTTGGAAATCCTGATCTTCTCGCGCAACACGTATTTGCCTAAACATCTTCACGATATCTGCTGTAAACCCGTAACGAAATCGACGCCAATTTAGTAGAATAAGCACGAGGTCTCTTTGGAGGGGTGGGCCGACCATGAGAAAGTCATTTAAGCAATTTTTGGCGAGCGTTTTACGCGAGGCATCGAAAACTACGCGATACTTCTTTCGCAAGGGGGTACCGGTGACAACTATATGGTGGGGTAGGTACCAGGCTCGCGCGTTATTTATCTCTGCTCGAAGGACACGTTCCATATGACCTAGATCTTCATAAGCCTGCATGAATTCAACGTACGCGCTTGCTAATTCCGGATCGTTTGAGATGCGTCTATGCTGATGTTTAAGAGAACCCAAAGCCATTCGTCGTGTTTCCGCGGCCACGATCGGCGGTTCGCCGATTAAAGGGAGGCGAACTCGAAAATGTCCGTCCCGATCGCGCGCATGTGTGTCCGTAAAAAATCTTTCACACTCCTCGTCAGCTGGCTTTAGTTTATTGGTAATGACCGGCACTTCTTCAACGGTCCAAAATCTCTGGATAATTTCGCTTAAATCATCATTAACCTCACATCGTAGCGCCTTGACCGTAACTTGATTAGCAGGTACCGCCCGCCGTGGCGTACTGCCGTGCGTAGGGCCCGATACTACGCAGCCGAGCGCGGTATTTTGCGCGACTACTAGCGTGTTGGTGAAGTTTTTCACACCCGAAAGAAGCAATTGGCCATACAAGTCAGCACCTATCATTAGGTCGACGCGATCCGAAATGTGGAACTGTGGATCCGCAAGACGTAACCTTTTGAATTGGTGAAGATTGAACTGGACAAGGCTTCTAGAAGGCAACGCTGAAGTAAGTCGCGGCAGCACAAAAGCATTGACTTCGAGTTTGAAGTTCACGTCAACTTGCGATTGCAACGTGAAGCAAGTCGCCGATTTAACAGTCCCCGCTTTACAACCACCTACTCCGATTACGCTTGTTTGCACGCGATTCTTCGGTAATCGGAGCAATTAAACGAGAGCTTCCGAGATAAAAGTCGCTTCCGATCCTTGATCGAGAAGAGCGCGAGCGCGAGTTTGTTGACCATCGGGCCCAATGATAATGACTTGCGCTGTCGCAAGAAGAATGTTGCATTCGGTTTTTCGACACGCGTTTGCCAAGAGCTCCTGCCCGACGCTCACTTGAGCAACGTTAGCTTGAACCTTGGTGTCATCATTGCCATTGTTATTCCGTTTGTTGAAGTGAATCAGGGAGTGATGTCTCCGGTTACAAGTCTTACACGAGTGCTTCGATTTGCAGTCTTTAAGATTTTGCGTGCTCAAGCAATTATAACAAAGTCTTAGCCGACGCACGTCGCTCAGTCGGTCGTGCACATTCTTCGCTAGAAAGGTAGGGCAGTGCGTAATAAGATGCTCGCCTGAGCAAATAGAGCATGTCGTCGGCTTGTTTCTCCCGGAACCGGAGGCTTGTGCGTGGTAAACCTTACGAGGACCCGAATTTGAGTTAGCTGGCTGAGGAGTTTTCTTGTCCTCTTTATCAGCGCTGATAACTAATAATGATTGCGCACGCCTCTCTAAGAAAGCGACTAGATTGACAAACTTTGGAAAACGCGAAGCTACATTGTTTTCCGCATCGAGTAGTAGAAGAGCTAATTGCCGATCCCTTTGAATCAGTTCCGATTCCCACATTTTTCGCGATTCCGAATCCAAGCGTATTTCTACTATGTGAACGAGCCACATATCCCAATGCGCGACAGGGGCTCCGCTGTTCGTGAGCGCTCGAACGATACGCTGAGTTTCGTCGACAAATCGACGTAAATCATTCGCATTTTCCTTCTTCAAATACGCGCAAGTTTCCGAGTGAATCGAGTAGTTTATTGACAGATAAGCGCGGATTATAAAACCGATCTTTAAGTGCCTGCCAAGTCGACGCGTAATTAATACCAATGATGGCCACGTCCTTTACTAGCTCAGCTGCAGAGCCTTTCAAACACGATTTCAAGTACTGAAGCTTAGTTGTATTAGCAAGGCACGGGGCGTCGTGCACAAGAGTGGTGAACACGTCCGAAAAGCTCTCCCAGTCCTCGTATTTACCGGAAAACGTAGGCAAATCTAAACGTGGCAATTTGGCTGGTCGCTCGTCTAGCTCGTCGTTTTCGCGTGCGCGGCGTCGGGTGTTAACTTCGTTATTTTCGCGTTCCTGATCATTATTTAAATCCGGAAGCTCCACCATCCTGGTTAACAGCCAGTCCAGGGTTTCCTCATGAGCGCGAGCCATCGCATCAAAACGATTTTCTGTGACGTACACATGTCTTGTCGCATCAGCGCGAAGCATAATCTCATCGTGCATTTTCCGTATTTCCGCCCAACGTTCTTCCACGATGCGGATGCGCGTCTGCACGATTGTTTTATTGAGAGTGTCAGGCGCTCGATTTCGCATGCGCGAGCCGATAGCAGCGATCTCATCGCTCTTGAATTGCTGAATAGATGCGAGCCTGTCCAACGGAACGCGGGTCATGGCGGCAATCAACGTTTAATTCGCTCAATTGATTTTTGTAATGAAGAGAGTAAGACGCAGGTGGACCTTACTCGCACTGACTCACGTTTATAAACTTGTAACTTCTCTCTATTTTATATTATATTAAATTGCTAATTAAAACCACAATTTTACCACAGATTTTGAATGAATCAAGACTATTATCTACAACACACAATTCCTCACCCGGGGCACCATGTTTAAACTGTAGTTTAAATGTTACGATTATTAATATTATTAACAATGAATTATACTCCGGACGGGCAAGCTGAAGGCGCCGAGGAGATAATACGTGACAGTAAATAAGTTGGAATTAGGGATGGATGATTGCGTGTTATAAATGATAAGTCCTAATTATACAATATAACTTTAATGAAATTATTAAAGTGAGGAATACTCATCCGGCATAAAAAACCCAGTCGTGAGTGGGGAAAAGCCATCGAGATCCTATAGAATACTTACAGAGTTTACTATTATAAATAAAAACTACGCCACTAATACAAAATTGAGAGAGAGAGAGAGAGAGAGAGAGAGAGATTGGATACGCTTACAATAGATTACCTGAGGCTCGCGGAGCCTGTACAGTTCGCACGGTGAATGGCCATTCAGAGTAAAAATGTGTGTTCGCTTACAGTCGACGCCAACATAGGTAGAGGGAAGGAAGGTGCTACCACACACACACACATCGGCGCACCGCAGCCCCAACGTCTTGGGCACACAAAAACTGCGATGTCGCCTAGTTTGCCGACTGATGGGCAGGAAGGAACTGGTAGCACCCCGGAGACTTGAGGGTGTCTTCCACTGACGCAGTCAGTCCCCTTGAAATGCGTCACTGGGATCACGAGACACTAGCGAGTCAGTCGCACCCCAACACACTCACACACCTAAGCGCGCACGGTTTCCTTTCTTGGCTCGGTGTCGCAGACATGCACTTGCGGCAGAAAGAGGACTTGTCGCGTACAACCCCTTTGAGTGATGCGAGATGCACGTTAGAGAGCAGAGTGTCGACCGTAGCAGTCTGGTTTCCGGAAGGAACAGAACTCCTTTCTATCCGAAGACGCGAGAATAAATAGGCGGAAAATTCTCCCTACTCTTGAGGCCCGCCCGAGGGGAGCCAAACAGAGAGGGACTTGCGATTGCGAGGATGGAAGAGTCCGTGCGACCTTTGATTACCTGCGGCCGCCGGTCGCGAACTCTCTTTTTTTTTTTATTGACGCGCGCGGCCTCGAGATCATTGGTCATCGAGCACGTCTGGGTTTTCCCCAGACGTGCTAAGACGAGAGTATTGCCGGATTAGCGGAGTTAATTTTCACCTAAAAAAAAACTAAGAAACCTAATAACTGCATTTGGACATGCGGTGCGCAGATGTGGGAAATACGCGCTGCAATTGGCGATATGCAATAAACAACAGATGCGCGCATACTTCCGACTGTAAACGTCACCGAACGCGGAAGTCGATGATTTATTGCCCTTGCGTCGTTCCTTATATTCTGTTGTCGGTTGCTTTCTCTCTCTTTTTTTTTTTTTTAATCTCGGAGTGCAAATGGCGCGAACAATAACATTAACAATATAATAAAAATAAAAGAGAAAAAAATTCTGTCCGACACTATAACAAAAAAGATTAATCTAATAAATTATAATTTTATTGATTCTATAACGAAAATTTTATTGATTTTGTTGATTCAACAAAATTTGTTTTATTCTTCGTTACTTAATTAAAATATCCCTTCTTTAATTCAGTAAAAATTTCATTGAGAAAAGTAAATGTTTAGAAGACTTAAAAATTTAATAATCAATTGAATCATGAAACGTTTATTTACTTCTATGAAACAAGATTAAAATGAATTAAATGACTTTTACTGTCTACACCCACTACGAACAATTAAATGCTTTATAGAGGTTACGAAATATTTAATTATATTTTTACAATTGTTTAACCATTTCAATAAATTTGTTCTAAATGCGAGTCACTTCATAGAATGAATAAAGGATCTCATTGAATCCAATATATTAAGAACGACTTTAATTGAATATCTTCATTGAATTAGAAAAAATACCATTGTATAAATAAAAAAATTGTAAAATACCAAAAAATACCAATTCTTTATCTAATCAAGTCTTAAAAATTCGCAAAAATCCATTTCAGTCTTTCGATAAAACTGCATATTTATTTCTATCAATAATTGCATGAACTGAAACCATATGATCAGTCTTCATGCAGACAATAAAATAATTAGCTGATTCTATGATCTCCTTTGCAAAAATATAAATATAAATAAGTCTTCTAGAGTGTTTATTAATTTTAAGGGGTCAAGCTCATCAATAAATTAATAAGACAAGCAGCTAAGCCTACGAGTTTATCAACTACCTTGTAACGATGAACGTTACATCCGCTCTCTCACCTCGTTAGGACGACTGCCCACGAGGGACAGGACCTACCGGATATGAGTTGACAGCACGCACTGCGTAGGAAAAGAGAGATAGATATAGAGAAGGAGGAAGTCTATGATAGCTACTCGCGAAATACAGATGTAACCTTTACAGAGCGCGATTAGTCCTTGTGTTTAAAAAAGAGTACCGCTACTTGTGTATAAGGACATAAGCTGAGAGGAGAGGGCATACTGAGAGATCGTGCGCAAGTAATTCGGCGGGCGCCCAAATCAAGACAGACAATTTCTCCACCGAAACCAGGAGACAAAACGAGGCTGACAACTGACAAAGTGACGACTCGGTTAAGAGCTGCTCTCGTAAGGCAAACTGGCCAGCTTGGCGTTAATAGTTTCGCGCGTTTAAGACGTAAAAGGTTAAGGCCTAAAAGTTATATATGGTTGTCGAAACTATAAATCGCGCCTAGTGATGAATAAATTCTATGTGAGATAATCATTGATTGGCCCATTGGTAGAATTCTTGCCCTCATCGGTACGTTCGTTGTGGCAAAACGACTTCATGTTTTTGCGCCAGTTTTTAGCTAGCTGAATTTCCCCAAATACTTCCAAGCGAGGCTGAGGCTGTCGAATAAAATAGCGGTAGCAACCAACGGCAATTTCGCCCGGAAGCAAGTGCATACACCCGAGTTAAAGTAGTAGCAGGAGGATTGCCACAGAGAAGGCGTTTGTGATTGCCCGTGGGGGTAATCTTCTAGAAATTCATACGGCACCGCTAAAGCGTGCGCCATTGTATGATGCAGCGGCAACATTCGCGTAATTCGTGCTCATTTGCGCACATACGCAAGGGAAGCTTGCAACCCATACACAGCGTAGCCCCTCTCAAAATGAACACCCCGTTAAATGGCGCCCAACGTAAATGAACCATTGGCGTTCGGGACGAGTCAGAGCGCCAGTTCATAGATGCACATTTGCATGAGGCGGTAATAACACAACTTAATGCAAATACGTATCGTACAAAAGTCAGTCAATGAACCACGTGACATTTAAAATGTTGTGCACATTTTAAATAGTCAAGCATGCCACGTGATAGGTTAGTTTGCGAGTTTATATAAGTTTATTTATTCGGTCACTACTAGTAAAGCCTAGAATAATAATTGTAAGCGCGTGCGAGTGCCGACGAGAAATTCTTGAAAATTGAACGCTCAATCACCAATACGGTTTGAACGTTGCCGAATACTAACTAATATTGTACCGATTGGCTTAGGGAAAATACTAATACCGACAACATTCAATATAAAAACAAGCACAGCACGAGCCAAAACAAACGGCAAACGCTGTTACAATCATTTATGTACAATTTTTCAGTATCGGCTACATGCGCTAACTTGTGCTTACGGGAGCAGCTAAGCGTTTGAGCTTATATAATACGACGCAGTGCTGTCGATTACAATAAACGAGTCAAATCATAAACACTGCAAGGACTAAAATTTCTTTGTTTTTGTTTTAGTTAAATAATAAAAATAAGCTGTAATAATTTATAGCCATAGAAATTGGTATTCGCGCGTAAATAAGCTCGTTTTGTATAATTAAGTTAGTGAATACTAAAAACAGACACACTAACAAACAGCTAGTACGCCTGATAGGTAGGATCATTATATTGCGTAATAACGAGTTAAAGAATTTTTCGACCGGCTCAATAATATATATAATGTGTGCTAAGAATTCTATCTACTAATAGAATTAAATGGAAAAAGCATTTCAAAATTAAGTAAAAAACACTCAAATACGCAATAAGACTACAAGGAATAAAGAAAAGAATGCGCAAAAGCGAGCATACGCGATTCCTATAGTAACTGTATAAGCGTCAAATGCGACGATAATTTGTGGTTATTATAAAGCAATAACAATATCTAGATATGCAGAAGAATTATAGAATTAAGATATCAGTGATTGTTATTAAACGATATTAAACAGGATAACCGCAAATAGACTAGACGCAAAAAGACATTGAAAATTGGGTACTAACGCTTGGAAAGGAAGAGATCAGTGAGTACTTAAAGTAGTTTGAACAAATGAAAGCAAGCTCACTTAAGCCGGGAGGTTAGAAAAATTGGCTGCTAGGCAATTATTCAGCGAGCAACTTCTATCAAATAGGAACAATAGACAATATCCCAGCAAGAAGAGCAGCGCTACGTTAAAAAGTAATAACGTCTATCTGCGTTGAACATACGGCGAACGAAGAAGAGGACGAACACCTTTTACAAAAATTAATGCAAGATACTGAAGTTATATCAAGGGTGCAAGAAATAGCAATTAACATCTCGCACGTACTGAACTATGGCACGAGCAATAACAATACTGGAAACATCATTATAACAGCTAACGATGGCAGCCAGTTGCAATTACCTTCCGCATTCGCTATTATGATACAGGATCTGATCTTTCGCTCTCGAGAACATGAAAGAAAACTTGAATTGTTAAACTCAGTAAGTAAAAATCTATCGAATTTAACAAAAGTAGTGGACAACATGCTGATATGAGATATTTAGATGATCTACAACAGCAAGGAAGCACTCATAGAGATGTATCGTTTCAAGATACGTTCATGTGCCATTACGATGCGAACCCAACCCTACGGAAAAGGTTAACCGCATGCTAAAGATGATGATTACTACATATCTTCGAGGAAATCACAAAGAATGAGATCGATTCTTACCCGAACATCACTATCCATAGCTCTACGGGGACCAGCCCCGCTATGCTCAACTATGGTAGGCAGCCTACGGTAGACAAGCACCTAAAATCCTTCGAAGGGAGAAGGATGAACTCGCGGCCTAAGATGAGGACCTGCGTAGGTTGAGGTAATGGGACGAGCACATGAGAAACAATCGATTCACCCTACAGGAGGTCCGAGACATCTCCTCAGACGAATCATTATGGAAAGCGAGGTATTTTAACGCTAAACAAAGGGCTTCGGAATTCAAGGAAGGAGACTGGGTGTGGAAAAGGAATCGAGTCCTGTTCTGAGCGGCCCCAGAAAATATTGAAGTAACTTGTAGTGTTGAATTATTACTCTTAGATCAAGTTTTATATAATTAATAATAATTACAATTTACCTTACGATGAAATTATCGGTTTGAAATTTTTGAATAAAACCAAAAGTAAAATTGATTTCGAAAAGTCAATTTTAATTCATTCTGATCTGATTACACCTTTAAAACAATTAACGAGTCAAAGACCTAGAAACATACACACAGATATACAGATATATATATATATATACAGATATATATATATATATATATATATATATATATATATATATATATATATATGATTGATACTTTCATCATTAATAACAAAATTCCTTTATTAGAAATCTACTATTCAAAATCTGAATGTAATATGTTATTTATTGTTAGTATAGTCTCAGAACAAAGCATTATAAAAGAATGTTTTGTAAATGATATTAATGATTCAAAGAAAATAATTTTAAGAGATATTGGTGGTCATTCATATATAACTCTCGGCTTTACTTTAATAGAATTGTTTGGTAAAACATAAAATTACAAGTAGTATCTAATGATTTTCCCATAAATAATGAAGGACTACTAGATATTGATATTCTTAATGATATTAAGGCTGTACTTGATTTCAAAGCTAAAACTATTCGAATTGATAATATTATTATTACTTTTAAAAGTTCAGCTAAAAATATTGATGGATTTTTCGAGAAATTGTTGATAATAAAAATATTTTTATAATGACTTGAAAACAACAACAACTTGCTAACCAACCTGTTCGTTCTGCTGAACCCGTTGTTTTAGATACTAATAAGCAAGAAAAACGACTTTAGGATCGGCCCAATAAACAAGTTCCGATAGAAAAATCCACACCTGATCCATTTATCAAACGTAAGCCAGGTCAACCTAAAAAGTTGTCTAAACCTACAAATCATGAATTTCCACGTCGACCTAATGATTTACCTTCTTCTCTTAATGTTGAATCTAGATATCCAAAGAGAAACCAAAAACAAAATCTCAAAATTAAAACCGTATTAGACATTGTGTTTCGAGATAGTGGAATAAAAGTTTTGATTTGTACGGATGCTCTTGATTATGTTCCTCCCGAACTTCGAGACGCTATATTTTATGAATTACATCAATTCCTCATAGGTGGACACAGAGGAGTTTTCAAAACCTTTTATAGAATACGTTAAAATTATTATTAGAAAAATTTAAAAGAAGACATATAACGAAGAATTCAACAATGCCTTGAATGTCAATTAGAAAAGCTCACTAGATTACAAATAAAACAACCGATGGCAATTACTGACACATATACCACAGTCTTTGAAAAAATTGCAATTAATATTGTTAGGTCCAATAAAAAAACCCTGATGGAAATAAATATATTCTAACCATGCAGGATCAATTAAGCAAATTTTGTTTAGCTGTCCCATTAGAGACACGTTATTCTATATAATAGCCGATGCCTTTATCAAAAGATTTATTTGTATCTTAGATTACTCCAAGCTTGTCTTTACTGATCAAGGGAAAAATTTCTTAAGTTCTCCAATGAATAACATTGCTAAAAGATTTAGTATAAAAAAAACTTAAAACGACTGCGTTTAGATCCCAATTCAATGGTTCCTTAGAACGTTCTCATCACGTTTTAGCTGAATTCCTTAAATAATATACAAATGCTGACAATAATTGGGATCACTGGCTCAATCTTACGATGTTTAATTATAATACTTGTGTACAAAAAGCACTAAACTGACCCCGTATGAATTAGTACTTAGCCGCCTGGCTCGTTTACCATCAAACAATCCACTAAGAAAAGGAGATATTTTGCCTACATACATCTATTGACCCGATTGATTGGAATTCAAAAGTTAGCTTACGACAATTTAATGAATTCCAAAGAAAAATCAAAAAGACTTTATGACAAATATATCCATCATAAAAATTTCAAATTAGGAGATTACGTATTTTTAAAAAGTGGTCCTAAGCCTGGTAAATTAGAGGATCATTACTCTGAACTGTTCAAAATAATTGCTATCTTATCTAAAAATAATACAAAAATAGAAATGAAAAGGGGTACAAAAGTCGTACATCCTAATCGTTCGAAAATCTCATACATCAATCCGTCGCTTAAGAATCTTAATAATAAATAAAAGTCATATTACTTAAATAAGAGAACAAATAATAATATTTTCTTTTGATTACAGAACTAAATAAAATTTATCATCGTTCCAATCAAAATGATAACTATTTATGCCAGCTTAATCATTTAATGTTTCTCATATATGAGGAATCATCGCTTACGATTATGGAGCCAAATCGTTGAATATTACCATGGTGTCTTTACTGGATGTAGCAACGTATGACATTCTCACGAACGCTGTCAACGCCACTAAAAGATTTGTATAATCATTACAAATGAATCTTCGAAAACATCCACGTGATACAATGCAAACTGCAGTTATCTCCAACAATTTATTATTACGGTATGCATTCCCATTCTTCTGTTGTTAAAGATAGAATGAATGAATACATGATCGAGTTAAGTGAAAAACGCTTTATAGATCTTTATAACACCGGTACTTTGTATTTTGATGATTTATATATACTTAGAGACCTAAGAGTTAATCAAACCACTACAAGACCGGTTCTTTTGGCTGGTACACTGATAAATGACGGAGCTTGTACAGGCTCTGATTACTTCGAAGCATTTAGAACTTGGTTAAATGCTGTTGTACAAGGTTTAGTTAAAATTACAGTTCAAGACTACATTGCCTCTATTGAATTAAATAATGATAAACTCAGGCTTCGTTCAGACGTCAGATGTACTTTAAACAATGAAGCGTGCGTTGATTCTGATGGTGGCAATACCTTTTCGAAAAGGATTTCAAGAGACATTTGTCAATTTAGTCATTATCGAATCTTCTATGAAGACATGGCGAATAAAATCATCGATAATCACAATGTTATTTATTCGATAACTACTCAGGAGATCACATTTGCACTTATGCAAAATTCAAAAGAATCGGTCTGTGGATATGAAATTGTGGTAACTAAACATCCTCCAAATTGTTTATTTTCGAAACTACTAAAGATAATAGTTTTCTGGAACAATTACGTGCGTGTGTGCAACAATAGTATTGCAGCAGCAAGCAGCGGTGCAGAAGCAGCAGATTGCAGTAGATAAAGGCGAATTGAGGCAGCGCAGCTGATAATCAAGGGGCAGCGGCAGTTGAGATTTTTTGCAACAACAATTACGGCTGATCACCGTAATTGCACCGCATGGTAGGTGCACCATCCGTCTATATGCGATACAAAATACATTCGGTATTTTGTTTAATCGTGTTAGCGTTAAATTTTTGTATTCGCGTCGAGCGTTAGTTCGCGGTAGAATTCGAATCTACTCTTTCTCTCTCTCTTTCTCACTGAAAATAGTTAATTGTAAAATCCTATTCGCGAACGTTAGTCTTTCGGCCCTACAAAGACTGTAGTGATTTTTATTAATTGAAGTCTGTTAAATTTATTCGCCGTTTTCGTCATTTAATTTTCCTAGTAGCTTAAGTAATTGAAAAAGGCTTAGATTTTAATCCAATTACATCTAAGGGATTAAGAAGATTAGGAGTAAAGTCGCTCACACTTAAAGCTCATCAATTGTAACAAGACACGTGACTTAAGGTGAGTTCAACTCCATTTGATAGAAGACAACTAGGATAAATCATCTGACATTAAGGCGAATACACTTATTATCATACGTGTTTAACGGAGCGGCGGTTTGCTCTACATCGTGGGAGTTTGTTCTTAAATAAATTTCCCATTTTTAGATAACCTCCCCCGTTACAGTATATAGATCGAAAGCGTTAATTTTGTACATAACAACGACATTTTTATAACTTATTAATTTTAATTAACTAATTTAGTATTAGAATTATAAGAATTTACAAAAGACCGTTACAAATATGAAAATTAATTATAATTCAAATGTTATTAACTAATTTAAGTAAATCTTTTTAGAAATTACTTCTACTAGTGATAAAATATTAATATATGTAAAATTTTATCATTATTTTATTGTATATATTGCGCTATCACATTAACTATTTTTATTAGTTAATAACTTTTGACTATACTTTTTGTGATAATTGTAAATTATACTTAAATGATCTATATCTACTTCCGTAAATTTTATATATTTTAATATTTCGTTATTACTGTTTATTCTCTTGTAAATTATAAAAAATGATTTCGCAAAATTGCGTAAACAACTCGAAGAGGGCTGTCCTACGAAAATAGGCGAGAAAAACTGTGTATAAACACGCTGATTTTTGCACAGACTAGCATTTACTCCTGGCCTTGTAAAGTGAGCGCTCGAGATCGAATAAACTTGTCTAATACCTAAGTTCTTTCTGTCAAGTGATTAACTGAGCAAATCCTTTCTTTCCTATTGCAATTTATGCTTGACTCATAGAAAACTTAGCGCTATGAGAAACTTGGGTTGAATTGCATCCTGTTATAAGAAAGACTTAAGTTCTGCTTATGAGACACTTCACACCATAAGAAACTAGGGTAAACTCTATCTTTCCGTAAAATCCAATTCATATAATCATAGATATTCATTTATAATTTTATTAATACGTGACAGACCACGAGAGTACGAACAATATTATAAGTAATAGATGACATTAACATCACGAAATAAAAAACATAAAATTAATAACATTTATAAGAAACACCATTGGATGATAAAGACTTAATGAAATTCCAAATTAAAGATAATTTTATGTACTACTCTAGAAATGAACAATTAATAAAAAACCTTACATTATGCATATTCTGACTAAATGATCACACTGAGAGTGAAAATTTGCCGTTTATCCTGATATATGCTTCTTGAACGATCTTTTGCCACAAAATCTCTTATGCAGAACAATGTAGACTGAACAAAGAAAGGGTTTCCTTTTAAATGCCTCATTAAAATCCAGAATTCTTTGAGCACTCACCGCACCAGTATTTGTCCACTACTACATATAATATATATGTGGACTGACGCATATATCTTGGAGACATATACATATTCAATGAATGTGATTACCTGTGATCGATCGACCGATAATGAACAAAACACTGGGCACAATGGAAACAAATCACATTCTATGAACACGTACGATATATATACGAAATTGCGGTTCTACTTTTTAACCGTTATTTCTGTTAGCAGTAGTGGAGTTTTATTTACAACTTTTTCGTGTAATTGCTACAGGTATGTATATTGCATTTATAGCAATAAACTCGAAATAATTATTCACTGTAATATATGTAATCAAGAAGGCAGATATATTATTTTTAAAGCTCATAACTTTATAAAGTTTCTTAGTAGTCTATGTAAATAATCTCTATGTTTCAAGTTTTGTATATATTTCTAATTTATTCCATAAAAATTGAATAGCTGTTAGAATTGTACAATAGATTGTAGAACATCATTATCTGTTTCGGATGGAGCGTGTGTTGTTAAGGTGAGTGGATTGCGCGCACATGTGTTTCGGTCCGCTCGGTGCGGAAGGTTTGTTGATCACGTTCTCTCCGTGGGTCTTGGGGGGGGGGGTCCGCGCATGTGTCCTGCGAATTGGTATTTCTCGCACGAAACTCTGTTCTTTTTCTTGTTTTTTTTGTTTTGGTTTTGTTTTGTCTCGATCCATTGTGGTTTATAATCGTGCCCAGCAGACTTATCGCGTCATGCTAAGTCGGGGCAAGGCTGGCGCGATCAAATGTCACGCGCGACACGATCTTTAGAGATTACAGGCCCAAACAAGACCGAATTATAAGCAAGGTTGCATTTTTAGTATATCCAATGCAACCCGGGGCAATTCTTAGAACTCCTACACATTGTATTTGAATCATTTGATCCATTTGGTCCGGGCAAACTATTCGAATCGTATCTTGTTGATGAGCTGAAAATATCCACGAACCATCTATCGATATGTAATTCCAATTAGTCGTTTGTTATACTTGTAGAACAATATTGCAATGGTATAAATCGTGACTAGAGGGTTGCAATAACATTCTCAATTCACAGTTTCCATTTAGATTAGTATCCAGTAGGGGATCTCGTACTACACATATAAAGATAGAGTGTGTACTCACACAGTATTCTAACGAATGTTGATTCCTTTATATGTATTGTTTTTGGTCCAAGCTTAGTGCTAGGTATGGGTATTTGTGTCATATGTATGTTGACTTTCCCATTGAGCTCGGCAAGCACAGCATGTAATACAAGCACAGAGTACAGACAGTGCAAAATATAATAGCTTCTCGATGTATTGCGTTAATATTCGAAATTCTAGCTATTTCCTCGACCCTGAGGTGTTCTGTTGGAATCGGAAAATCAAGGTCCGTTCAGTATGTTTTATATCGTTAGCTATTTGGTGCAGCATGTTAGAGTCTATAAGATCCGTATGTACGTGGCTTTTTTTTAAAGCCCGAATTTCAACCAGTCTTTTCGAACCTTCGATATAATGGTTCAATTTGTCCTCCAATATTCTTCCAAGGGATTGTACTGAAATCATATATTGTAGTCGAGCACTTTTATTTTCCAATTTTTTGAATTTCTGCCGCATTTGTATGCTTGGTTTGTAAATTTTGTAGCCTTGACATCCATCATTTTGTAAAGTTTATCTATTCCGGTGGTGATTATGTAAGTCCTATCATTGAAGAGTTTAACAATATCCGTTTGATCCATGTATAGTTGATTTATATTGGTTTCTATTTTATTGGTTTCGTTAATAGTTACTAACCCAAATAAATTATGACTTAACCTGTCTATACCTAAAAAAGACACAAATCTTTTTGTCCTGATATTTCTTGGTCCTTGAACATCGGGAGGCTAGGTATGTCACATATTCTCGACAGCTTCTTTGATGTCTGTTCGTATGTACTCGAGAGCGATTATTTTCAGGTCGAGAAGGTCTTTGCCAATCACATTATTACACGTTTCGTCATCAAGATAGCTAGTACCATTTTGTTATAAGGAGTAAAGGTCAACTATATCTGTGGTGCTTGCCAAGGATAAGTTTATATCAATAGATATGTATATTTTTCAATTTGCCCTCTTTACTCTTATAGGATCCATTCTTTCGTACTATAGTCCTGGGTTACTGTCTAGCTTTTCTATGATGTAAGCTCGGGGATCCGTAATAGACAATGCGTATACGGAGAGGAAGTAAAGCTAAGTCAAGTTGATATTAAATGAAAGAAAGAATAGTACTTCTTTAGTTAAAGTTCTTTTTATTTAATGAAAGAAAGAATAGTACCTGAAAGAGTGGAATATAGTAAATAGTATAGATAAAGAAGGTGTGAAAATAGATTAAATATGTATAAATATTTGAATTCGTATATTTATATCTGAAGCTTAAGTTTATCCACGTGATTGCGTATTCTTTTTTCATTAGGTACTTCCAACAAAACGTTTTTATGATTCAGGATTTCAATAATC